TCCATTATTTAACTCATGCCACTTTCCCTTAAGTTGTTTTAACTTGGCTTGTATTGTTCTGCCTTAGCTTTATTTGCATAGTATGTGCCCATTGTCTTAGGCATTCTTTGTTTTAATAGTAACACCAGCTCAGTGTGCTTGTTAAGATGAAAGTAGCTCAGCCTTATGGTGAGTCAATTTGCTGTAATTTTGTCTAGCTCTTAGTTATAACTTGTATACTAGTTAATGTGTGTATTTAGACTGATAGACAGTATTAGACAGGAGAGTATTATTATTATTTATGCCTAACTGAAGATACGACCATCTTGTATTTTATAAAGATAGATTAGGATGCCTAGTATTTGTATACGTCTGTATATTATTTCGAATGTGAATGTGAATATATTTCTTTCTGTTTTAATTGTTTAGAAAATGTAAGTCTTTATTTTATGAATGATTTCAGTAGAGACTCAGCGGGACAATTTTGCTGTGTTGTTTCCACATTTATGCATTGTGTGAATAAATCTGAATCGGATTATAATTGGGGCTTAACGGGACAAATCAGGACTTAGGGGGACTTAAAAATATGGAACATGTTAGAGGAGAACCTTGTTTATATTTTGAGCGTTATTACTAGTACATTGTGTATATTCATGTTTTTATTATAACAAATTTATTACGGCATTATGCTTACTAAAAATAATTGCAACGGTCATCAGTGTCCAACAAAGTATACTCTAACTAATTACTCGACCTTTGATTTATATTGCTGTACCTCGTAAACAAAGGGTCTGTGATGGTTTTCTTGTGGTATAATGTGTTTTCGTTTTGATCATAATCAAAAACAACGACTGCTTCAATTCCAGGTGCATGGTTAACCAAAAACAATGTAACGTTTCCTATAACAAACAAACAAAAAAAAAAACACGTTTTTTTTTTCTGGGACTACTGTATAACATGAATATTTGAATTCTACATGTTCTATTCACTTGTGTCCATGAGCAAGACACTATCCCTCCTTTAAAGAACGCAGTGGTTCTTTGGAAGATAGGGGTTACCCCAGGTGTTCCGGTTCTGCCCCTGCCGTTGATGACTACTAAGTGTTTCTCTAGGCCTTCAGCAGTTATGATATTCACTGGCCACACCCGTGTGCAAAATGACGCTCCGACTTACTGGTTAGTTAACCATGTTTACATTTACCTTATTGAATGATTTATTAACTGATTAACTGAAAATTGAACCAAAATATAATAAAACCATATAATTTTAGGTAGGCATCCTGTATCTGACAGGAGTAGGATTACCCATCAAATGACATAGGCCTACTACATTTATTATTATTATTATTATTATTATTATTATTATTATTATTATTATTATTATTATTATTATTATTATTATTATTATTATTATTATTATTATTATTATTATTATTATTATTATTATTATTACTACTATATAATAATAATAAGACAAATGTAATACTATGTATTAATAACATTTAATGCGATAGCACAAACATGCCATTGAAATAACAAAATATAAAAAAAATATACCTGATTTTTTGTCGATCCATACGTAGATGCCATGTGGATAAAGGTCTGTTTTCTTAAAATTACCAACAATTGTTATTTCCTTAACCTTTTTATCTGGGGCGTTGAAATCAAAACTGTACAAATTACTATGTGGCGGTCCATATAGGCTCTGTGATGAGAATTATTGTTTTAATTATTAAAATAGCTTACTTTCAATTATAATAACAAAGATATTACGATAATTAAAGCGTAAAACAGAAATCTTTTTAAACGTTGAGGTACAACTGCTACCGGATCTTTTCAGAATATGTCACATAAAGGTAAATACTCATATTGTTAATGAACAAACTTGAAACGAATTATAATAATAAATGATAATAATATTAAGACTAATAATAATAAATGATAATATTAAGAATAATTATAATAAATGATAATAATAAATAATAATATGATTGCTAAAAAATTAAAATATAATATACATGGTGATAGCCTACTAGGGGCTGAATAAGTAGGCGGAGTGTGTATGTATGTATGTATGTATTTGTGTGTATATATAGGCCTATATATATATATATATACATATATATATATATATATTTATATATATATATAAATCAAGATAGCCGTTAACACTGTTAAATTATATATAAATCATCAAAGAAAGCTAAATACAGTGTTCGAATAAAGGACATAATTATACATCATGTAGCATAGCTCTCAATATATATATATATGTATATATATATATGTATATATGTATATATATGTATATATATATAACAAAAGAATATAGGAAACGAATACCATGTATAGACTTTAAAAACACTTTACTTATACACATCTAGATGTGTATAAGAGACAGATATATACCCGATTCCAGTGGGGTCCTTCTCTGACCACCACTGATTTTTCAATGATTACAATGACAGCATTTTCCCTAAAGAGGATATACTGGAAGAAAGTGGAATAAAAATGGTGTACTTACAGAAGATATGATTGCAATGCCATTAGGAAGGGTTGTAATGTCCTCAGATCCGTATTCTTTGAAAAAATATTTAAAAATTAGATCTAAAAAACAGTTTAATAACAAACAATACAATACAATACCGGTAATGGTTATTATTCTTAATCATTTAAGTTGACTGGAAAAATGATTTTTATATAAATATATCATGTAATTTAAAAGTTTTAGTTTCGAATTGAAATTAGATAATAAGAATCAGTGTAGACCTAGTTATTTGTAACTAGTGTGTATTTTTTCGTCGCATAAGTACTGAGGCAAGGCTAGGTAAGACTAGATGCTTGGGAGAGGGTCATGCTATAAACATTGTCACGGGCGTCGGGACACTCTCGATGGTATAAACGCCTTAACACACTTGCGGGTATTTGTAATTCATGTAACCTGGGCTTGGCAATAAAATAATTATCATCTTGGAAAAAAACTAAAAATGAATCTGATAAATGATAAATTTCCAGCATGTTGGCTGAGGCCCTGTAAACCTAGATATCCATAAGCCTATCCATTCGAACCCTCGCACTATCACTAGTAAACCCTCGAACTAGCATCCGGTCGATGGCCAATGTTTAAAGGTTTATACCTCATGATTGGAACAACCTTTTGGAACAACCTTTTGGAACAACCTATCAACACTGCAGTACCCGCTGCTTTCTTGGACTCGAATTCAACCCTGGCCATCAGGCGCGAGCTCGGTGGTCTAGAGTTATGATTCCAGGCAGTGATCTGGAGGTCGTGGGTTCGAGTCCCACCCGAGAAAAACTTGCGATTTTGTTCGCAATTGTTTTCAAACGTACTGAGTATTCAGTACAATTCCACGTCAGGTAGGGCAAAATTACACCTATACTTGATTCTCCTGACGCAAATCCCGTTATTGTTTAATCCATCACGACAATAACAATTACTATCAACAACCTTTTTGTTTAGTGGTACAATTGTATTTTCATTATTGCATTAATTCAATTTAATCAGTACCAAGACACTGTGAACAAGCTGAAGAACATATAGTAGGCCTATGAGAAATAAAATATGCAAAATAAACATTGCCTACTAAAATCCACTAAAATTATAAAAAACGAGAATTAAAATTAAACAGTTTGAATTCTGTTGCTCTTACTTACCTATTGGTGGTAACTTGTGACAAGGCCCTGGAGCATGGTCCTGTGAAATCCTAAACCAAGTCTTGTAAAAAAACAAAATCACATAGACAAATAATTATCAGCATGCCATTCTATATTTTGTCTATATTCATATTTTATATATTTATATTATCTTTTTTCCATTGAATACACGAAAATTGTTAATATAAGACACACTTTATGTATAGAACTGAACATTTAAAGCCTGATTAGTGAGGCACATTTTTAACAATAATTTATTTTTCATTTCAACTATTATTGTATTGTATAATAAATATATATTACCAGGGATATTACTATTATAGTAGAATAAGCCAATTTATCTTTATTTTATTCCATATACCTATTATATTTCAAACACAAGGAGATAAAAATGTGTCTAGACACTTGTCACGCCGAAATTGGTCCGGGCCAAAAGGCGGACCTTTTTGGGCCCCGAACTATTTTTTTTCCTGACAGGCCTATACAAAAATTACAAAATGGTGTACCTGGTTAAATATATAGCCTGAGATGTGCAGGCCTGCAGCAAGCATATTCAAATTTACAAGCCCTTAGTTCAGTGCGCACACAATGGTTACCATCAGTTTAGCTGACTGAGCTAAGCTGCTAATGTAAATCTAAGATTATTATATTTTTGGCCTATAATTGTCTTGCATGCAATTTGATCTTCCGATAATGACATAAAAGTTACGAAAATGTTTTTATACTTACACAAAATGAATTATACGCTGCACAAGCAAAATTAAGCATACAAATGCTAGACCCTTTAACACCGCCGACATGTTTTCCGCATTCCCAGAATATAAGTATTAGTGTAGCCTACCAACGATGTATACAACCCTGCGATTCAACAACCTTCAACCACCAGCATATTTCGCAGACAATCTAATGTACATAAGGCACATACCAGCGGATATGTGATAGAGTCTCGGTCAATTGGAAATCCATTTTCTATATTGTACATATGCCTATATATATATATATATATATATATATATATATATATATATCCTATATTATAATATACAATTTATAGGTACAATAGTTTTCTCATTGATTACCCTTCATGTATACAAGCGGTATATAAAATATAATGTTTTCAGCGGTCATTGTTTTCCACAGCAATGTTGTTTTTCAGTAGTTTTCGCTTTTTTATATTTGTACATAAGGCCTATATACAGCCTACATTATAACATACAAGGTATGTACAATGTACAATACGGTTTTCCCATTGATTAGCCTCGATGTATATATAGGCCTACCAGTGGTATATAAAATAAAGATATGTTTTTGTCATTACTGATCAGTCTCACTACACAACATACATATATATTTGCATAAATGTTATTATGTATGAATATCTTATTCTTATATATGAATATCTTTTTGTTTATGTATGTGTAAGATCTCCCAAATTTTCTCACTTTAACGTTGATAAAGATAGCAGGAGCTATCGAAATATCCGGTTGATTTTGTTATATTTAATAAATTTGTGTTCTGCAAGTCAACCTTCAATGGTTGTACATCGTTTTTTCATTGCTTTTACATTTTACTCACACTCACACACACCCATATATATATATATATATATATATATATTATTTATAAAATATGTTTATCGCTTCAGACAGTTGAACCTGGAAGAAATTGTTAATAGGATTCAGTACATTTTAACTGGGGCTGTTTATGCCCTATCTTGAGGAATATTATTATACAGTCGATCCCCTAGTAACGGAAGAACTTTAGACCCAAAATAAGTGTCCCCTTAATTATGGTGTCTATATGCGTATTCTATTATCTAAAGCGTGCTATCACATTGTTTTTAACCTTTCACTTAATTGTATAGCGTTGAAGTATTGTTTAATACTCAGTGTATACGATATAAAGCTTAATCGAAGACATATGATTGGTTTTCCTGACAATTATGTTAGGACTCCGCCCTTCTGCCAACAGTTCGACCAGAATATGATTGGATTAGAATATTTATTTCTTTTCACTGTGGGAATTTATCGCCTTGTTTTTGGCTTTGGAAAAAAAATGTAGGAATATCGTTTGGACAGGTTTAAACAAATAAAGGGTTCAGTTCATTCTAACTTGGCATGTTTACCCTAAATAACAGTAGAACTCCTCCTTGCACCCATTGGATGCATTTTCTCGAAGCAAATGAAAATTATATATTTGAACACTATGACCAGCCCCACATAGTGACACTAGGGAAAGTGGACACTTTATGGTCGTGACAAAAAATCAATTCAACCCATATTCAACTTCATTTTGTGGAATTTGTGATTGATGTATTTATTCATCATAACAAATAAAATAAAAAGCAGAATATGAAGAATCAATATGATATACGGAGATATAAAGTGTGTTGTTTTACTCTACATCGTTACGCATTCTTCTCCTCTCAAACTACAATTGGCGGATCCAGAATTTGAAATAGAGCTGGCCCAGAGGGACCAGCCCCACCATGGTTGGGGCTGAAGGTAGAAATATATAGGCCATATTTTATTGTCTATTGATGGCATTTTAACCGTGAAGTAGGCCTAATATGCAAGTTCTGTAATTGTTTTTGTTATTGATCTTGTATAATAAATGTATTGTTTAGATTCAAAATAATTATTACAAATTTGTTGAATGTCACTCATTCTTAGATCAATTAAACTAAAATTATAAAGAATCTGTCTTCGTAGTAGAATCACATACCAAAAATCATTATTAAGGAACACAATTCCACGTTTTCGGGTATAACCCATTAATTCAAGATCATTTTTCCAAAGAACCAAATAACAATCTTCAATCTTTTAACACTAAGCTAACCCTGTAATTCGATGCCGAACCCCAAAATCACATCAAAAGTCTCGAAGATGGTCTCGAATAGTAGGGCGAACTGTAGTATAATGTCAACAGCCCCAAAATGTTTAACATTATTGTCTCCACAGTAGAAAGGACGCACTATCTTAACTAATATGTTTCTAAGTTAACTGCTTGGACATGGGCGGAATCTTAACACATTATTATTTCTTTAAACGTATGTGATTGATTAAGCCATGGACCTATTTATTATAGGTCCATGATTAAGCTTTATAACCACAATGAATATCTCGAACAATACTTCATCAACGCTACGCAATTGAATGAAAGGTTAAAAACAATGTGATAGCCATCGCTGGTTAAAGCACTCTTTACAATTTGTTGGTAACACTTCCAAAATTGTATAAAGATTGACACAATAGCGTTTGTCTTCCAACTGACCAATTCCATGACCCTCGACGAGGTGAGGTCCATATCTTGGTGTTTATAAACTGTGTTAATTTTCGTCTTCTTCATTTCATTAGCACTTGGAACCAGAGACAAGTGTACCGTTTTAAACTCAGAAATTTTAGTCAAAATAACATGACAGGAGTATTGTATAACGTAGATATGGTGGCTTCCCCAGACACAACCGTCCATGAACATATTCCAGAGAATGACCTTTCTTCTATCAAAATGGAACCTCAGTGTCCTGATGATGTTTCTGAAACTGATGATGCAAACGAAATTAAAATCGACTCGCCGGCTGAACCACCGAAGATAAATAAGAGATCACGACCACGACCAGACTACATGCGGCATGTCAAATCTCCATTTTCTTATATCGAGATGATAACTTATGCCATCGTGTCGAATCCCAATACTATGATGACGCTACAGGACATTGTAAGTTTCATGTCGAAAGCTTTTTATTGCCTTCGTGGGGGTTACGAAGGATGGAAGAACAGTGTGCGTCATACTTTGAGTATCAACGATTGTTTTAAAAAAGTTCTTCGTCGTCCGGATAGGCCGTCGGGAAAGGATAACTTTTGGACTATGAATGAAGATTGTAACCATTGTAAATTGTCAGAAGTTGAAAACAATTGGAGTGACTTAAAAATACGTTATCAGCAATATGTACAGGACGTTAGTGAAACAGTAGATTCGTCAGTTGAATACCAGCAACTTATATCTAGACCTACACCAAATTCCAGATTTGAAAAGGGTATCAACTTGATGAAGAAATCAACAACTCAAGCTGCTGCGAGTCCAGTACATCGTGTTTACCACCAAGTAGATTACCACTCTAGTTATATGCCAATGTTTACGCCTCTTATGATGAACGCGATGTCCGTTATGGACCGATCAGAGAGTCAGTCACTCGCATATCCAGTGGATCTTTCTGTTCCCACACAAAACAATCGAAAACGACCATCTTTTGATGATGAACCGCTTGACCTAAGTGTAAAAAGAAAGAAAACTTCTCCTTCGAACACGGAAACAATTCCTAAATACGAGTTCAATCTGAGAAGCTCACCCGCAAGCTCACTAAATGGATCTTATTCACCAGACTGTCACAGTCCTCAACTATTTAATACGAACTCTAAAATGTTTTCTACACGGAGCTCAAGTCCAGAACATTGTCTATTTAGAAGCAAGGTTCATTTCCCTCTGAATATTGATAGAACCAGGTTCCTGAACAACATGAATGGACGTATGTATGAATGCGATCAGGAAGGAAGACTTGGATTGGTACAAAGTATTGGTGAGTAAATTAATTAATGTTATTTGTTCGTGCTATTCAAAAAACAAGTTGTATGAAATGTATTTCCTGAGGTTAAAAGTAATATACTATGTCTATGCCGACAAGATAAAATCATAACTTGTTTATCGATAAGTTTACCTACTTTTTTTAATGTATATAATATTGCTATTGTTTACGATAAATGCTTCACTCTCAGATTTGCCAATATAATATTTTGATGAGCTATTCTTAATACTATTATTAAAACATGTTCCTATATATATATATATATAATTGGTAACAGGTTAAGATGTGTATATATATATAGTATAGTATAGTAGTCATTAAGATAAATATTTCTTTTCTCTTATTTTCTAGATGACCCAAAAAGGCCGATCTATATACTAAGCAGCATTCCTCGTCCTGCAGGTCATACAACAAAGGGATACTAACGCACTGTGCGATGAATAGGCTGGTGATGGACACTCAACTCTAAATTTTAAAGCCCTTACGGATAGCGTCGACGATCGTCGCGTTTACATGCCTAATAATGTGCCCATTGATATCAAGGCCTTTGAGCATTATTACATCTTTAATATAGTCACTTACTAAATACATTTTCTCCAATAAATCTTCCAATCGAAATATTTATGGACAGTATGAAATCTGATTGGAACAACGAATATTAGGAATATAACACGCTATGCACTAAGTGCTATGAACGATCAAATTGATTTAATTAATTAATTAGTTATCAAACTGAAAATTACATAGTTTTTAATGATGAAAATCAAGCTAAACTGGTCGTGAAATTGTAAATAATTTTAAAAATGAAAATATTGAAAATATTTGCATATATTCTAAATGAGTTCGATTCGTTCAATAAAGTATATGTGATTATGAGTTCAGTTTTGTATTTTGTAAGCCTCCAATTTGTTAGTAGACATGAAATATATGCCTGCATTACAAAATGCTGAGAACGAACTAAAAACTGAAAGTAGTACTTTATTATTAATTTTAATTATTTTGGATCAGTCTCTTGTATTAAGTCATTGCGATGGTAAATTTTTGAAGGAAGTGGAAATCGAAAGTAATGATTATTATTAAAAATGACTTTACCATCACACGATTGCAATGAGTGATGAGTAACTATATGCTTATAAAATAACATTAGACAAAATATATCGATATATATATATATATGAGCAATATATATATATAGTTAAATACAGTGTTGGAATAAAGGACACAATAATACATCGTGTGGCATAGCTCTCAACGAATGTACGGTAGTCCTGTAAATATTGATTTATTAAATATATATATATATCTATTGCCTATATATATAGGTGTGCGTGTGTTAATTTATATTTGATGTACTGTATATGTAAACAAGTAAACAATAACGGTGCTCAAGTAGATGTCACAGTATAATCGTATTAAGATTACCCTTCAATGAAATGTTTCTTAGGTTAGTTGCAGTAGCGGCGTTACGGTGGGGTGGGGGAGGGCTTCCTTAGTTCATTTGCATGTAAAATGTGTCTATCTAGTTTCTTGCTGCTTAAGCACTTGTAACAAAAGTAACGTATAAATTTCATACAATAAGGAACTTTCGTTGATGAACTATGCTTAATACGATTTATATTCCCATATTTGAGCATTGTAGGTCTTATTTATTTGAGAGTGCCATTTCCATACATTTCCAGACAAGAAAAAAGCATGTTCTCCCCTTTTTAGATCTAAGGAGTTGGGAGTCCGTGGGTAGGGGCCCCGTCTTACAGACTGTCACTTCCTTCCCTTCCACTGCTGCCAACCGTACTCGCGCGAATAAGCTTAAAATGTTTTTTTTGCACTTTTTGAAGGGCGCTTATTCAAACGGGGCGCTTATGAAAACAGAGTGGAAATTGAGGGGGCGCTTATGGGAACTAATTAAATTCAAGAGGCATTTTTTGAATGAAAAATTATTATATAAGAACATTACGAATGGTGGTGCGGCGGAAAAGATAATCCTCCAGAGAACATGGCTTATTTTTACGTTAAGATGGGGGGCTTATTCGAGATGGGCGCTTTTCAAAAGGGGCGCTTATTCGCGCGAGTACGGGTACTTAAAATCCATTTTAAAAACCGCGTTCACAACGTCAATAATACGCGTTAAAAATGGCTTCACTCGTGAATTTGGTTCACCTTTGGATTGGGTCCACTCCTGAATTGTCCCACACTGTCTGAAAATCGTGGCTAAGGCATTGGCCACGACACAGATAATTTTCTTGTAAATTCGGCCCTGACCCTCGAAATTTCGCGTGTCTGATAAGGAATCATTCTACACATACAATTCTTTAGTGAATTCTGCTTCTGGAGTCGCATTCATCAAGAATTTCGCACCCTGTTAAGCAATTCAGAATAGAAGAGGGAAAGGGGGAAGAGGAGAAAAATATGTGAGCATAACCAAAATGCATTTTTCGACAGATAAGTGATAACCGTCGTGATTGCGCGACATACTTAACAAATGGTACCGTAATGCCCTGATAAAAGGAATGTTTCGATGTTTTATGGCGTGCCATACAAAGTACAAAGTTTCCAACCTCGCCTACAATATGCAGCGTTAAGTGTTTACTTAGCCATTGAGTCAATACTCATGAGATTACAAATGTCTTTGTTTTGTCCAGAATAATGTATTTACATTTCTAAATTAGACGGAACTCTACACATCAGGGATATACCGGTATTAGATTCAACGGTAGGGCAGCAAAACTTAACAAGTCCTGAGAAATAATTCAACTCACCACGCCTTACTAATTGTTCGTAAGTTATTTATTTTTAATTAAATTGAAAATGATTGAACGATAGGAGGTAACGATTGAGGGAATATGGAAATATAAGTTTTTAAATTAGCTCCAGATTTAAGCACATTTTTTCACACCAACTGCAAAGGCACTTCTCAACTAAAATGAAATCTGCAAGGTGCTGAACCGCCCCAAACAACAATTAGGTATAACCGGTGAAGAATGATATCAAGGGCGTGGTTAATAGTTGTGGGGGGGGGGACGATTTGCATTATAGGGAAGTCTTGGGCCGCAGGCCTAAGCCTTGGTTGGTGCTAGGGGGACCATCAGGGCTCCCGGTGGGGGTCCAGGGGCGAAGCTACGGAACGGCTATAGGCTATAACCATTTATGTCGTATCTAATTGATTTTAAGGAATGCAGTTAACAATTATTTCCACAATACATTTTCAAAATACAGTGAGGGATCCCGAAATTCGAAATACGGGGGACCCAGGGAGGGACTTTTACAGATGGAGTGTAAACTACTTTTGCTCACCATGGTTGGGCCTGAGAAAGAATAATGGCCGGAAATGGCACTCTTAGACTCAAACTTTGAGAAGAATTTTCATTTTTTTCTCAATATTTTTTAAATTTTGAAATATTTAGAGTGAGGGCCCTGGGCCCTACCCTCTTGAATCCGCCACTGCACCCATAAAATCGATGGAGTGGTTACTGAGATGGTTACTAAATGTACAAACAATTGCGTTTTTACTCGATTTTGGTCTGAAAAAATACGCGCCGCACTTGGAACAGAGCACAAGTGAACAGACAATTCATGACAGTCATTCGTAATTCTTGTTCTTTCCCCTCGCTTTGAAAAGTAGGGTTTCAACTATAGAAGATTGGTGAAAAGTGGGGACAATTGATATGATGTTCTCCTACCTTTGAAAAGTGGAGGTTGGGGTAGGGGGTGCGTGTCCCCTGTCCCCACCGATCGACGACCGTGAGTTATATAGAACTCGTTGAACCGGTGATAAATATGTAACGTTGTTGATTGTTTAATTTTAATAGCTACTGTACGAAATTCCCTTTGTCATATATAACAGTTTTAAAAAAATAAGAAAGATAATAGGACCGACCCAAAAATCCACAAAATACTCAGTACTGAATACGGAGTTGAATCATGTTCAAAAATGATCAAACGACTACCGGTATACTTGAATCCAACGTCGCCATGCGCTCTATCTAGTGCTTTCTCAACATTATTTTATTGATAACTTTGAATGCTTTAAATGACAACATCTTATATTTCACCAGGCCCTGGGTGTGCAGTGTCTGTGGTTTTATTTATTAAGTATTTTAATTTCTTAGGCTGATATTAATAATTAATAAAATATGCATTATATTTCTCATCTCTGGCCGGTCTAGTCTACGCCTCCATGGGCCTAACTAACCTTGCCATTAAGTTGGTAAGGGAATCAGCGATCTCAAAGCAATCTTAAAAAGCTATGTTGATTTATGTAGGACGTTTCACGCATATTTCTTTATAAATCATTAACTAATAATGCAGAATCCTTTGGGACACCCCTATCAATGGGACATCCATTAAGGGGACACTTTATGAGTGTGCCAAATGGCCAAAGTATTCCGAACCCTAATGGAACACCTAATTTTTTCATTGTATCTCAACAGCTAAAGCAATCTCAAATAAAAAAAAATCATTCAACCCTGATTCCTCCGAGAGTGAACATCGGTATTATTATTATACTTCTACTGCATGTGTTACTTCGTAAAAAACCAATCTTGTCAATTTTTACCCTTAACCATTGAGACTTTTTTTCGTGCACTTTCCTATAGGATTATAACATACCGGTACACCCTTATTTCTATGTCGTTACTCTATTCATGCTACAGCCATCAAACAGGAAGTTCAGTATTAAAAAATATATAATTGGCCATTAACATTGCATCATTTGGAACATATAAAACTATTGCAGGCGCGCAGGGTGGTTCCCATCTTGGGGGGGGGGGAGTGTGAACATTGTAAATGCGGAACTACAAAGGATCAGTGGAGCTGGGGCCAGGGGCCGCGAAGGGCCCAGATGGGGGTGTGGAGACGAATCTTCAGTGCTTGTAGCATTTTCTGATGTGTTTTATTGTCTTTTTTGGCACAATTGAGTTCTTAATTTTGTATCGTGATTTGACAAAAATAAGCGTAATATATTGTAATTAAGATAATACTTTGTTCGTCTGTAATTTAATTTCTTGTTACACATTGTTTCATTTTTATTATGCTATATAAATCAAATTATTAAATAAATTTTAAAACGTTCAATCAAAAAAATAAAATGTTGGCGTCATTTGATGTATTTTAAAAACCATGATAACATTTAAAACCCATTAATTCACATTTAGGCTGTTGCTTCGACTATACATTCCTACCGGTACTGTATGCCATGTTCTGTACTGTACGGAAGAATGCTGTTTTGAGGCAAACGTCAATGAAATATTATATTCCAACGATCTACCTTTTTTTCTAGACTTTCCCCAAGTTTTTAAATATTCAAAAATATATAGGCCTATCTCATTAAGCTCTTTATCTCATTAACCAAGTTATTCGTCAAAAGTAATAATAATAGGCCTAAGAGCGTGTTAACGTTTCTACTGTTTATTGCACATTTTCTCCTATGTAGATACCAGATAGAGTTCACTTTGATGTCACAATACACTGGCACAAAAAGTTTTATCTAATAGTGTGAATCATGAATTTTTGGTCATAGTCATAAGCATGCGCATTAAAGAATTTCGTAGTTGATTATTGAACTGCAGTGTCGTGTGTAAAATAAAAAAATTAAAAAAAGAGTTTTACGACTTGGCATATCATATGTTTAGGCCTATATATGTGTAATTTAATTGGCCTCCTAATCGATCGATTTCTACTTGCTTCCATGCGACATAAAACGGACTGTATCTACACAGGAGAAAATGTACAATTGTAGTACTGGGCAGGCTTGGGCTTAGGCCTACACCTGCAAAACTTTTTTGCCTTTTTTGTGGAAAGGGGGGGGGGGGTTGCGGCTGCACTCACGTACCCTCAAACCTACGCCTCCTCTGTATTGTTGATCTAATTACATTTCTGCTAATTT